TTTTTTTGGTTTTTCTCCGGTACCGGGAACCGAACTCACGACCTTGGGCTTGCCAGGCAGGCGCTTTGCCGCTGAGCTAAATCCCCAGCCCCTCATTTTGTTTTCAGTTCAGGAAATGGTTCAGTTCAATTGCAGTGAAATGAGAAGTCTTTACAGTGTTAGGTAGGAAGCTTACAGGCTGTCATAGTTCAGTGTTGCCAGTACTGCCATTCAGTTGTGCAACATGGCAGCTCTATACAACTCATCATAGAACGCAACATTTTGTTATTATTAGTTCCATATTTTTACATTCTAAAAATATTTTAAAAGACTTCTAAGAAGTATTATAAGTAGGAACTATAAGTATCTAGGTACTGAGTGAAACTTCACAAACGGGGTTGCTCAGAGTGAAGATGTAGAAGGCAAGGTAGGGCCGGTTTAAAGTACCCACCAACTTACTAATGATGGGCAGAAAAAGGAGACTCTGGAAATGGATTTTCCATTATGGAAACGTTTACTTTATAAGCAATCTAAGGTCAGTCTGCTTCAACAGTGACTGCTTTGTTTGTGGGTACAGAATAAGAACAGTAATAGTCCACGAGGTTGATGTTTAAGTGCAAAGGTACCTGGAGCTGTGGTCGAGTTGATAGTTGCCATGGATATAACACAGGACCACAGAGCTCTCCGATGTATCTGTCTGCCATCTACTGCACCTGGAGTGTTTTTCTTAGGCAGTGACAAAGGTACATGCAACTCCAATAACAATGAGAATGTTGTAGTTACCAAGAAAATTTTTCTTGTACAGCCTAAGACTGAAGGTCAGAGTTTTTCGTAAACTATAGCAAATAATTTGATCAGTGTATATAACATGAAAATGTTTATTTCATATTATACATTATTATATGGTCTTTTGTTTCAGATATTTTCCAAGTATGGCAAAGTTGTGAAGTAAGTATTCATGTTACAAGATACTTGATATAACAAAGGAAAGAGAAATACTAATGTTCACGTCTTAACGTATGTTTTAGTTATTTTTCTGTGCATAAACCTGTATGTCAAGATTCTGTGTTAAGATTCTACCTGCAATTTTGTTTTTTTTTAACTTGATAATGTAAATAGCTTTCCATATGCTGTACTGTAAAGATATACTCTCATATTTAATAGTTTTTCAGTATTTTATCATTCATTTTACAAATTTTCGTGATTTCTTACCATATTACTAAGAACTAAATCTAATTTTGCTATCCAATATAAAGTATAAGATTTGGTGAAACAAATATTTCAGTTACTAATAAGTGATATCAAGTATACAATAAATTGTTTCCCATTTAGCAAAGAAAGACTATAAAAAACAATATTTCAATTCTTAGGATTTGCAAAGTGCTTTTAAACCAGTTTCTACTCTCAAGGACAACTTAGATATTGAGAAGACTAGAAACATAAAAAATGGTAATGGATATTAGTTCAAGCTGAGAGTTAAAGATAAAAAAGAATTTGGGACAATTGTGTATTGCGCTATTTTAAGTCAATTGAGCAACTGTATTATGGGACAAAAAAATAAAAGAGAAATATAATCATTCCTAACTACCTTGAACTAAAATACATTCTGGCATAAATGTAAAATCCTTTCTAAATCCTAAGAATTAAGCATATTTATCTCAACTAGTTATTTTTAGTCTTATAAATGGATTTTGAACAGTTGAAGTGCAAGAGGACTTTATTTTTTTAAGAGGACTTACTTTAAACTTACTTTGCTATTAGAAATTATTATTAAAAATGCTTCTGAGTAAATGTGTACAGAATTTTGAATAGTCATGTTCAATCAAGACAGCGATAATGCTGCTACTATAACACTTAAAGAGCCGGCCGGTTGGGGTATACGCCTGTAATTCCAATACTCCAAAGGCTGAAGCAGGAGGATTGCCACGAGTTTGAGGCCACCTGGTCTAGATAGTGAGTCCAAGGCCAGCCTACACTACATGTCTCAAAAAACACACACACACACACACAAAGACACTTACAGAAACATATACATTTATATATGCTGGGCATTGTGCTCATCTCTGCACGTGTGTGGTCTCGTTCTCACATGCCTTTTAAGGTAGCTATTGTTATTATCCTAATATTACAAATGATGAAACTGGTGCACAGTAAACTTAATGTCACTGCTAGTTGAAACCTTGACATAATGGAGTCCAGATTTGAATCCAACAGTCTGATTTCCATGTCTACTCCCCTAAATGTCCCATTTTCCTAGTCTCACTTTTTCTCCTCTCTCTGCTAAAATACCAGAATCTCCATACAAATATAGGACCCTATGAAAAGAATGGGATAAAGTTAAGGACACAGAGTTATAAGGGCCTGTGTACAGGGAGGACCTGATCTGGAGAATTTGAGAAGTCTTATTTAGGTCTGCATCCTTTCCGTTGAAACTTAAAAGCCTGAGTAAGACTTAAAGAGTCAAAAAGAATGGGAGGAACATTCAGGAACAGGAAGTCACATGTGCGTAGCTCTGTGTCAAGATAAAGTAACACAAGGTCGAGAAATAGAAGCCAGGTGGGCCTTGTGGCACATGTTGGAGTCCTAGCACTCTTGAGGCTGAAACAAGACTGCCCCAAGTTCAGCCTACACTACATCATGAGCCCCTATCTCAAAACCAAAAAAAAAGCCAGACATGGTGCCACATGCCTGTGATTATAGCACTAAGGAAGCTGAAGCAGGACAGTCTAAAACTTAACTTTTATAAACATGAAGACTTTAAAAAGTGAAAGCAACTATTTTGATACTCTTTCCAGGTGAGTTGAACATTTTCCTGCATGTCATCACTTAATACTGCAGCAGGATAACCAGACTGAATTTCATGCTCCATCTAGTGCTTGACTTCTCTTCTTTTCTTCTAATTCCATTGTATAATCAGACACTCTCCAGCAAAGAAAAATTCTCAGGTGTCTTAAATTTAATCACAAGGACCAAAGATAGAGTAGGAGAGAGATAAACTAATAAGCCAGCCTCTTCAGTCAAAGTAACATGTTTCAAATTACTATGTTTTAAACCTTGGCTCCAGTCCCATTACAGAGAACCACCACAGCCCCCACTCCTTTACATACAGAATTGATTTTCATCGGCTGCCTTCCCAAACCCCTGATCTAGAAGCCAGTGTAGAGTTAAGGAGCTTCTGTTTTTCCCCCCATGTTTTCATTATAAAACTGCTCTTCATTCGAGGTGTAATGGACATATTCCCAATTGATACTTAGCCTTGCTGTGGCAGTTATGCAGTCTTACCCGCAAACCTGGTCCTTTCTCTGGCTAGTATCTACAACTGTTCAATAAACTCTTGTTTTTCAGACAGCACTTGATGTGTGGAGTTTTGGTTTAATATGTGTTTTAGAGAAACTAAGCCATTATCGTTGCTGATTTTCCCCTAAATTATTTCAAGTATTTAAACGATAGACATGTCCCGTTCTCCTTATCCACCCCCACCCCCACCCCCCCCTGCAGTACTAGGGATGGTGTCCAGGACCTCGCAAATGCTGCCCAAGTGCTCTACCACGAGTCACATTTGTTTCTTCAAGCCAGGTTCTCACTGTGCAGCCTAAGCCGGCCTTGAGCTCATTCCTCTTGCATTAGCCTGTGGAGTAGTGGGAGCGGGAGTACAAGTGGATGCCGCCAGGCCCAGCATACATTTTTCTTCTTAAGAAAATGATTTTTTTTTTCATGCCTATTAGTTTTATAAAATATTGGTTTTTTAGAAATTAAGTGTATTGGTACATTTTAGGTATACATAATCATGTTCATTATAGAGAATTTGTACCTGTACATGATATGATTTGATTCTCTTTTTTCCTTTCCCCCTATCTTCCCTTCAGCCCCTCTTCCTCTCCTTATTTACAGAAGTTTGATTTCCATTTTTTTTTGTTGTTCTTTTTCACATTTTTTTCCCTTTCCTTTCCTTCCATTCCTCCTCCCCCTCCCAGGTTCCCATTCCCATTTAAACATTGTCTTCCTATTTCACAATGCCTATTACACATTTTGGTCCTTATTTACACTTTTTGTTTCTCATACCAAAGAAACAATGCAGTATTTACACATGTACATCCGATTTATTTCATTTAAAAGTATGGTCTCAAGGGACATCCATTTAGCTAGAAATGTCTCAAGCTTATTCTTCTTTATGGCAGAGTAATACTCCATTGTATAAGAAAAAACCTCACATCTTCTTTATCCATTCACCAGTTGATGAGCATTTAGGCCATTTCCACAATTTAGCTATTACACCCTGAGCTGCTATAAACTTGGGTGTGCATATATTGCTGTGGTATGATGCTTTTAATTCTTTAGGGAAGATAAAAAGAAGAGGATAGCTAGTTTGAATGGAACCTCTAGTCCTAGTTTTCTGAGGACTCTCCACACTGATTTTGCACAGTGGTTGCACCGATCTACACTCCCACCAACAGTGGAGGAGTGTTCCTTTCTCCCCAGGGCCTCTCCAACATTTGTTGTTGGTTGATTGGTTGATGATGGCCATTCTTTCTGGGGTGAGATGGAATCTCAGTGTTGTTTTAATATGCATTTCTTGAAGGACCAATCTTACTGAACGTTTTTTTCATATATGTGCCATTTGTACTTCATCAGAGAAGTGCCTATTTCTGATGCCCATTTCTAGATTGAGTCTTTTTTTTTTTTAAGTTCTTTATATTTTCTACGTACTAGTCCTTTGAGCAACAGCTCACATTTTTTTCCCACACTGTGGGTCCATCTCTTCAATCTGCTGGTGGTTTCTCTTGCTTGCAAAGGCTTTTACAGTGAGATCCCAGTTGTTGATTCTTTGTGATAGTTCCTGTGCAATTGAGGGGGATTTTTTGGTACTGGGAATCAAACTCAGGACCTTGTGCTTACCAGGAAGGCACTGTGCTGCTGAGCTATATTCCTGGCTGAGGTTTTGTTTATAAATTATTTGCCTACATCAATGTCTTTAAGAGTTCTACCTATCTTATTTTCCAGCAGATTTAGCATTTCTGTATTAATGATGAGATCTTTGATCCATTGGATTTTATGGTGAAAGATAGGCAGTCTAATTTTAGTCTCTAGAATGTGCAAAGCCAGTTTTTCCAGCACCATTTATTAAAGAGGCTGTCTTCCAGTGAATGTGTTTGGCCCCTTTATCAAAGATATGGTGGCTGAGGATGTGTAGAGTTGTGTCTGCATCTTTTAATCTATTCCATTGATCCTCAGGTCTGCTTCTTTGCCAGTACCATGCTCTATTTTTTAATCACAATAGCTTTATAGTATAATTTCAAATCTGGGATTTCCATGCCCCCTGCCTTGCCTTTCTTACTCACAATTGCCTTTGCTGTTCTAGGTCTCTTCTGTTCTATTTCAGGAATTGTTTTCTCTAATTCTGTGAGATACGCTATTGGAATTTTGATGAGAATTACATTAAATCTGTATAACAATTTTGAAAGTATGGCCCTTTGCACTGTGTTGGCTCTTCCTACTCAAGAGCAAGGAATATCATTCCATTTTCTGATATCCTCTTCAATCTCCTTTTTCCGAGTACTGTAGTTTTCAATGTAGAGGTCTTTTACTTTCGTCATTAGTTTGATTCCCAGGTATTTGATTTTATTGGATGCTATTGTAAAAGGTGTTGTTTTACAAATTTCTCTCTGTGAGTTTGTTACTCATATACAGGAAGGCTATTGATTTTTTTTTTTAATTTTAAAGAATAAAAGAAGGATAACATAATAATAGGGGGGACTTAGCAAATTACAGACAAAATGGTAGGAAATTATCAATGGTTATCGTTTTACATATTATTGTCTACAAAATAATTTCTCAGGAAAACAGACAAATAATAGTGAGTTACAGACAAAAGAGGTAGGAGATTATCAAGAGTTGTTGTACTATACTTTGGTATCTTCAAAGTGGCTTCTAAAGAAAATAAATAGAGC